TGAATGTCATCTCTGTCATCTTTTGGTTTTATGATTTGTGATTATTTTAATGTGATTTTGTTAATTCGTGTGATGATCCTGTTGCTAGGATTCTTGATATTCTAATTCAGTAATTCTACATTCTTATATGGTCATTTGTTCTCAAGTATCTTCAGTCATTTGTTTATCTCAAGTGGTAGTGTGGCTTTTGAAATCTTTTATTAATCATGTATGAGGGCAAGTCAGAAACTCCAATAGTAATGATATTAATTACCCATGTTGATGATTAATGCATCTAATAAGATTCAATACAGTTAAATGCTGGGACATATATATGGGTATAGAGTTCGATGGATCAGATTAAAAACATTATCATCAACTTCCATCATGTGCCTGGGAAGACATGAAATTGAAAAATAAAACGAATTTAAACTTCCATTTCTATTTGCAATGCAAGAATTTAAACAATACAATAATAGTGCATATAACAACATTTCACCCTTTAAGCCTCATATGAAGAGATATGGAAAACTCTTCGGCCTCGAAACTTCTGCTCGCATATGCTCCAATACACAATGAGCAGACAACGAGGTGGGCCAACAATGTAGAAAGGCTCACATCTTAAATACCGAAAAAAAAAAAAGAAGGAAAAAAAGGAAAATATACATATTGATACTAACATAATAATATAATTCGTATTTTCTGTGGATAATATATCTTCATCCCTCCAGACCTTGCAGAAGCCTGTCTTGTCTGCGGTTAAAAAAATCCCACCCAAGAAATCAATTTACTTGGAACGTTTTGCCTTCATTTCAGTTGCAGCAGATTTAGCAGCTGACTTGGCCAGCGCCGTGGGCTTGAACGCACTTTGTGGATTGAGTGCCTTGCGAATCTTAAATACCGCCCATGCAGTGCCCACAGCGTGCCCTGCAGCATCCAGTCCTTCACTTGTTGCCTTAGCTGCTTCTTCCCCATACCTTATTATAACAAGGATATGAAAGATTCAAAATCAGGAGTTCAGCTTGACTTCATATGACAAAGTGGACAGAATTTCAGTTAGATATACCGAGGTTACCTGTGGGAGACGAGTCCAGTGGTCACGGTAGAAGAAGTTGACATCACATTCTTTCCAGCTACTTCAACAGCATCAAAGATTCTGCCTGTTACCAGATAAAAAGAATAAAGGTCAGGCGGGACCGAAAGGGTGCAAATTATTTACTTGGCTAATATGAAAAAATACAGCAACCAAGCTTATTTTAATCCAAAAAGGTTAGGAAGTTGGAACTGAATTCACAAAGTGAACCAGCTTCCAAACAAAAAACATCAAAACACATTTGAATAACTAGGATTTTCTGTAGAGAAAAGAAGGAAATTACATCAGCCATGGATTTGGAAAGGTTATTTAAGATAATATGATCCAACTGAAGACATGATTGAACTGTTAGTTCAGCAAAATTAGAACCATTTTCATCTGGTATGTCCTGCTTTAAAAGAGAAACCATAAGAAGGTGTGGAGATACTCTTGGGTGGTGTTTAGTTGTAAACCAACCGTCATCCCATACTAAAAGCATGCATACACTAACAGCACAAAATGTAGACAGAGATGCTTGACATACTAAATCCATCAAGAGAAGCAAGGACCATTTCCCCAGGCAAGAGGTTAAAGAACTTCTTTCCTACTTTAGAGTTTGCAACAGAACCAGTAAAATATCCTGAGACCTTCACAACTCCTGAAAGAACCCCATTTGCCACTTTCTCAGTCATCTTAGTCACCCTCTTCACCCTGCAGATAACAACATACAAACCACCATATATATACACAAGACAGAATTGTTAACTTAGAGAATCCAAGCTACCAAGGAGTACATAAAGTGAAGTACGTCCAAATGATAACCTGAAGTTGGAAAATAATATTAATCAAGCTCATACTTTTGCTTATAAAATGCTCCTTGCACACACATATACATAGAAAATCAGAGTAAAGTGCAGAAGCATTGGCAAGTTTGGTACTTTCTATCATGAATGGACTTTTTTTTTTTTTAACGCTACAAGTTGCACTTCATATATTACAGGTTTGCGCAAGGGTTCGGTCAATGTCGATATGTTCCAGACACTACTTCACTCGCATTGCAGAAGAGTCTCAAATTTGATTCTATTTCACCATTGCATAGCTTATGATTTGTTTTTCAGCAATGGCCATATCAAACAGTCTCAAACACCAAATAACAAATCAAGAATAATGGAAAAACATAGAACACAAACCTCTTGATTCTCCTCAAGGTACTAGGATCCATCTCAGAACTAACACCCGGAGCCATCCTCTGCTTGAGAATCTCATTTCCCCACTTCAGTCGATCCATGGTCACATCCCCGCACCAGAGTATCCCCTTAACCAGCTGCCCGGAACCAGCTGCAATCAGCCGTGCCGCTGTTCCACTGTACTCCTCCACGTTCGGGGCCAGGGTCGTCCAGTAGGCAGCGCACTTACCTTCGACCTCCTCTTTCTTCTTCTGGTCCGATTCCAGCTCGCTTGCAGTTATCTCCCGGGCTGCTTCCCCAGCCTTGGTCACCACTGACTCCGCCTCCACCGTCCTCACCGAGAAATTACTGTAGCTCTCTAAGATCAAATCCAGTTCCTTCAGCAGCTGTTCCCGCCCCTTGGACACTATGGTCAAGCCATAGCTCAAAACCTCACTTTCTTCCTCTCTGTCCGCTTTATCCTTTACCTTCTTCTTCTTCTTCTTTGTCTTTTTGTCCTTCTTCTTCGATTTGCATTCGTCATCGCTGGAAGACAAATTACCCTTGGACTCACTCGGCGGCCGGAAGGAAAAGAAGTAGTGGGAGGAGTCCAGCTTGACGGCGGCGAGGTCCTTGGTCAGAGGCCATTGTATTTCGTCGGAGACGGCCGCGAAGACGGCTACGGTGTTGTCGCCCTGGCGGATGCGGTAGATCTGGAGATCCCCGGTGGCGAGCTCGACGGAGTAGTGGCGGTCGATGAGGTGGAGTATGGCGCCAGGGACGGCGATGAGGGTCTCCTCGATGGACTCGGGAGGGGCGGAGGGGGCATTGGCCCCGGGGTGGTCAGCTCCATCGGGGAATAGATTCTCGACTAGGTCCCTCATGTCGATGGTCGGGTAGAGGGAAGAGGAAGGGGGGTGATCTGGGACGGTACCGCCCATCACTTGTGGGTACATTTGGCTCTGATTGGGGTTGGGGTGGTCGTGGGACGCCATTTTAACCAAGATTCCAGCTCTGTCTTGGGTTTGCCCTCAAAATTGGTATATTTGGTTGATATACACACTTCGGTAAAGAGACAATACAAGAGAGAGAAACTGTTGAACTTTTTTTTTTTTTTTCCAAATTAGTAAAGTGAAAGTGCATTGCACGTGGTCATAAATACTTTTTGTCGATTGAATTCAGTAAAATAAATAAATTAAACATATTATTACAGGAAGAAGTAAAATAAATAAATTTTTAATGTTTTTTTAAATAACATAACGAGGTCCTAATATAGAAAGAATGAAATAACATATTACGACTCTAACAAAAATATAGTCTCTAATGAAAAAAATACTAAATAACTAAATGAGGACCTAATATATATTACAATAATGCTCCCCTACCCACAGTGGACACATGTTAATATGCCCACCACTTATGTGGCATGCACATATTGGAGCCCAATACATCAATGGTGCTGCAAAATTCTTCTTAATTTATTTGAGGCAAAATTGCATATAAAAGCACGACCTTTATGTTTTTGCATTTTAATCACGACCTTTTCATATTAGCACTAAAGTACATGACCTTTCATCTCTTTGCAAGTCGAAGCATGTCTTTCATCTCCGACACTATTAAAATGACGTGTCCTGCCGGAAAACACACGTGGAATAAAAAAAAGGGAAAAATACAAATCCACTTTGGACCCGTTTTTTGACACGTCCCACACCAAAAAAAAAAATAAAAAATCAAAATGCAAATCCACGTCAATCTCAAATCTCGAAGACAAAGTCGAAGACAAAGTCGAAAAATTAAAAATTCCCAAATCGAAGAAAGAAGAAAACCTAAAAAAATCCTCTGTAACGACAATCTCAAATCTCGAAGACAAAGTCGAAAAATCGAAGGCTTCAATACGGAAAATTCAAGACAAATCGACCTTATTCTATGTGAAAATCACCAATGTGGTCCCAATACCGAAGAGTTGATGAAGGAAATAGAGACAGGTAATTGTTATGTGTAATATTCTATACGAAAATCGTCCAGAATTTTTTTTTTTTAATTCTATAATCTCTTTTAGATACATATTATTTTATTAATTATGGGTTTCGATTAAGATATTTAGGGTTTAGGGTTCTAAATTAGTATTTTTTAGGGATCAGGTATACAAAATTAGGGTTTTGGTTTCAATTTGGGTTTTTTAGGGATTTAAAATACATAATTAGGGTTTTCTTTCAATTAGGATTTTTAGGGGAATAGGGATTAAAGTTTTGTTTTAGTTAGAAATTTTTGCCTTATAATCATATTCCTGAACTATATTTTCCTTTGCCAATGCAGTAAATATACAATCTTTTTGAATCATGGTGGTAAGATTGTCAACGTGGACGGGTTATGCGATTATTTTGGGGGTGACTTGTGTGCCATACATGGATTGACACCAGACAAATTCTCTTACATTCACTTGAAAGAACAGATACAGAAACTGGGTTACAAGGAGTAAAAGAAAATCTGTTACAAGATTCCGGGAAAAAATGTTTTTGAAGAGATTTCTAGTGACAGTGATATGAGGAGTATGGTGAAGCTACTACCTCCAAAAAGGTTTATCTATGTGTATGTTGATGAAGGAGAAATAGTTGAAAAGAATCCTGAGAGCGTACATGATGCCAATCTTTGTGGTGATTCAAGTGATGTACAGGATGCCAACCTCTGTGGTCATTCAACTGATGATGATTATGAACCATCTGGAGACAGTTACAGTGATGATGGCCTATCTGATGGTGATCTAGTGACAGATGATGAAGAATATATATCTACCAGAAAGGATAGAGAAATATTCAGAAAAAGTCAAGATGAAGATGGTAGGAACACTACAGATTTTGGTCATGAAGATGAAGCTGTTGAGGGATCTAACAAAGAATTTGTGTCAGACTATGAAGATTCTGATGGTTCTCTCAATTCAGAGAGTTCTGACAGTGATGGTGTGAGTAAGGCAAGGAAGAAGTGTGCTATATATGATCCCAAGAGTGATAAAAAGGATTTGCAATTTGTTTTAGGAATGAGATTTGATAGTATTGTTCAATGCAAAGATGTCATCCAGACTCATGCTATTTATAATGGCTGTAACATTCAATTTTGGAGAAGTAATGAGAAACAAGTAGAAGCTAGGTGTCAGAAGCCTTGTCCTTGGAAACTGTATGCCAGTTTTATCAAAGGAGAAGGAAGGGTTGCCATTAAGACCCTTGTTGCTGAGCACACATGTTATAGGGACATCAAAACTAGGCAAGCAACTTCTAGTTGGGTGGCAAAAGAGTTTTTAGATAAGTTTAGAAAGAAACCAAGGATGAAAGTGGCTGATTTGGAGGACCAAATCATGGAAAAATATGCAGTGCAACCAAATAAGTGGAAATTGTACAGAGGGAAGTACAAAGCTTTGGAGATGCTTAGGGGGTCAGAAGAGGAGCACTATGGCTGTTTGAGGAACTACATTGCAGAATTGCAGAGGGTTGATAGAAATGGTAGGTTTGAACTCCTATTGGACACAGGCAGTGTTTTCAAGGCCTTTTTCATTGGTTTTAGTGCTTTAAGGCAAGGTTTTTTGCAAGGTTGTAGGCCAGTGATAGGTTTTGATGGGTGTTTTCTTAAGACCTTTCTGGGGGGTGTTTTGTTGTGTGCTATTGGAAAAGATGGAAATAATCAGGTATTTCCTATAGCTTTTCCAATATGGAAATAATCAGGTATTTCCTATAGCTTGGGCTGTTGCAAACTCCGAAAATGAAGAAAACTGGAAGTGGTTTTTAGAAATCTTATTCCATGACCTTGGCATTGGGGATGGTTTAGGTTGGACTTTCATTAGTGATCAACAAAAGGTAATCAACTTATTAATTTTGATGAACTTACATTTTTGTTTTGTTTGCTATATAGGATTTTGGCAATTAAGGTACTTAATTACTTTTTTTTTTTGTTTTGTTTTATATGTAGGGACTTATTGCTGTTGTACAGGATCTCACTCCACATGCTGAGCACAGGAATTGTGCAAGGCATGTTTATATGAACTGGAAAAAAACAACATCCTGGAAAAGCACTGAAGAACCTCTACTGGAAAGTGGTGAACAACACTTACAAAGCAGCTTACAAAGAAGCTGTTGATGATCTAAAGGCAGAGGACCCTGATGCATGTAAAGATTTCATGGCAAAGGAGACTTTCAGATTCTGTAAGGCTTTCATTATGGATATGCCTAAGTGTGATATGATTTGTAATAATGTTGTGAAACTTTCAATTCCACTATAGTTAAGGCTAGGAAAAAACCAATAGTGGAAATGTTAGAACTCATTAGGACATATATGATGGAGAGACACCACCAGAAGCTAATGGAAACAAATGACTGCACTGATGTTATGTGTCCTAGGATTAGGAAGAAAGTTGAGGAGGCCAAATTTAAAAGTAGACTTTGTGTGACAAAGCCTGCTGTAGGTGATAAGTTTCAAGTTGCTATTCATGATGATCAGTTTGTAGTTGACTTGAGGGATTTAAGTTGCAAATGTAGAGAGTGGGATATTTCTGGTATACCTTGTACCCATACTTGTTCAGCAATACACTATATGAAGAAGGATGTGGCAGATTTTGTGAGCCCCTACTTTAGTACAGATAGATATCTGAAACCATATTCACCTGCCCTTGAACCCTTGAATGGCAAAAAAATGTGGCCTACTGCACTTGGTACTAAGGTAAAACCACCTCCATACAAAAGAATGCCAGGGAGACCTAAGATTGCAAGGAGAAAAGCACCTGAGGAAGAAGCCAAGAGTGCTACAACATTGAAAAGATTTGGTTTGCAAATGAGATGCCAGAAGTGCTTGCAGGTTGGTCACAAAAAAAGAACCTGTAAAAATGAAGCTGCTCCTAAGCCACCAAAGGTGAGTATTAATTGTTTCATTTATACTTGATTTTGTCCTTTATATTTGTATCTTAATCTTAAAGTATTTGTATGATTGTTTGAATTGTAGAAAAAGATTGGAAGGCCAAGATTACATAACAGAATTTGTCCTCCTATAAATGAGCTTCCTGATGCACTCCAGAATGACCAATCAAGAATATCTACCCCTATGCAAGTCAGAAAAAGAAAACTTCCGGTTAGAAAGGGTACTACAAAATCTGGCCAGGGGCAAATGTACAAGGATAGAGCAATGGTATCTAATCTGAATTCCACTTTCATTAGTAATAATCTTAAATAAGTGTTGTTCAGTTCATGGTTTTGTATCTAATGCAGGCAAGAAAGGGTTATGGTGTTTACCAATCTGAAGAAACTGGTGCAATTTACATGAGAGTGAGTAGCTTTATTTATACAAATTAATGGTGCATTTTATTTTAAGGTCTAATTAACACTATTTTTGTAATATGTTAGATGTCAAGTCACAAAACAATTCATTGTTTGTCTTCACCTGGAGGGACTAGCCAATTGACAAGAGAATCTGGAGGGACTAGCCAAGTGACAAGAGAACATGGAGGGACTAGCCAAGGAGGAGACATTGCAGGAACACAAGAAAGTGTGGCCAAGTAGTTTTTTTTCTTTCATGATTTTGGAAGTGCAATGTACCTAGATAAGACATCTTTTGTTGAATTTGCTTGTCAAACAAGAATTTGCTCTTTTGTCAATTTAGTGGTTTCAGAGTCTTTATTAGTGTTCTTGTTTATGTTTAAGCCAATGAATCACAACAGTTGCTCTTGTGGGTTTGAATTGCATGGTTTTAGTTGCTAAGGAATCTTATCAGTTGCTCTTGTTTGTTTGAATTGCATGGTGCAGGTTTTTATTAATGCTATGGGTTAAGTTTAAAGCAGCATCAATAATACTGAGCAGCTCATGTCTTATAGAACAGACAAATGTCACATAACATTTAAGTTGTTCATGTCTTTACAAACACAAAACACACAACATTGATAATTCTCCCTTACAACACAAAAGGTACAATGTTTCAAAATCCCATACAATACAAAAATCTACTTCCAACATTAATTGAC